ACTACAGGGGTGGTACCAAAATAGTGGCACATATAATTTAATTGACGGGAACTGTTATACTTCGCTATGGGGATGGTACCAAAATAGTAGCACATATAATTTAGTTGTCGGGGACTGTTATACTTCACTATAGGGATGGTACCAAAATAGTAGCACATATAATTTTGTTGTCGGGGACTGTTATACTTCACTATAGGGATAGTACCAAAATAGTGGCACATATAATTTAGTTGGCAGGAACTGCTATACTACACTATGGGGATGGTACCAAAATAGTAGCACATATAATTTAGTTGGCAGGAACTGCTATACTACACTATAGGGACGGTACCAAAATAGTAGCACATATAATTTAGTTGGCAGGAACTGCTATACTACACTATGGGGATGGTACCAAAATAGTAGCACATATAATTTAGTTGTCGGAGACTGTTATACTTCACTATAGGGATGGTACCAAAATAGTAGCACATATAATTTTGTTGTCGGGGACTGCTATACTTCACAATAGGGATGGTACCAAAATAGTAGCAAATATAACTTAGTTGTCCGGAACTGCCATACTTCACTATAGGGATGGTACCAAAATAGTAGCACATATAATTTAGTTGTCGGGGACTGTTATACTTCACTATAGGGATGGTACCAAAATAGTAGCAAATATAACTTAGTTGGCGGGAACTGCTATACTTCACTATAGGGATGGTACCAAAATAGTAGCACATATCATTTAGTTGTCGGAGACTGTTATACTTCACTATAGGGATGGTATCAAAATAGTAGCACATATAATTTTGTTGTCAGGGACTGTTATACTTCACTATAGGGATGGTACCAAAATAGTAGCACATATAATTTTGTTGTCGGGGACTGCTATACTTCACAATAGGAATGGTACCAAAATAGTAGCAAATATAACTTAGTTGTCCGGAACTGCCATACTTCACTATAGGGATGGTACCAAAATAGTAGCACATATAATTTAGTTGGCGGGAACTGCTATACTTCACTATGGGGATGGTAACAAAATAGTAGCACATATCATTTAGTTGACAGGAACTGCTATACTTTACTATAGGGATGGTACCAAAATAGTAGCACATATAATTCAGTTGTCGGGGACTGTTATACTTCACTATAGGGATGGTACCAAAATATTAGCACATATAATTTTGTTGTCGGGGACTGCTATACTTCACTATAGAGATGGTACCAAAATAGTGGCACATATAATTTTGTTGTCGGGGACTGCTATACTTCACTATAGAGATGGTACCAAAATATTAGCACATATAATTTTGTTGTCGGGAACTGCTATACTTCACCGTGCTAATGGTACCAAAATAGTAGCACATACAATTTAGTTGGCAAGAACTGCTATACTTTACTATAGGGATGGTACCAAAATAGTAACACATATAATGTAGTTGGCGGGAACTGCTATACTTTACTATAGGGGTGGTACCAAAATAGTTGCATGTATTATTCTACTCTCAGGATCTGTCATTATTCGATATAGGATTGGTACAAAAATAGTGGCATGTATTATTCTGTTGTCGGGATCTGTTATTATTCGATATAGGATTGGTACAAAAATAGTGGCATGTAATATTCTGTTGTCGGGATCTGTTGTTATTCGATATAGGATTGGTACAAAAATAGTGGCATGTATTATTCTATTGTCGGGATCTGTTATTATTCATTATAGGATTGGTACAAAAATAGTGGCATGTATTATTCTGTTGTCGGTATTTGTTATTATTCGATATTGGATTGGTACAAAAATAGTGGCATGTATTATTCTGTTATCAAATTCCCAGGGAATTATTCTAAATTTTGCATAGTGAAGCCATGCCTACCTTGCCAAAACCAATATATTGTATGTATGTTCAATGGGTACAAAGTATACCCTGGTGGTGGGTGAACTGCGGGAGTTCAAGCCCATTAGTGACCCTCAAGTAAATCCCAAAATGGGGAAAGGGGCGCAGCTAAATAATTATCTATTCAAAATTACAGGCACATATATGAACATATAAACTGAAACACAAGATTGGAATGTGCAACACGGCATTGTGTGTTGTGTTGGCCACACTGTTTCTAACCCCTGTCAGGGGGGGGGGGGGCTTCAGCTCTATTTCCCACTCTTTATCTCCTCCACTAGCTGGCTAGTTTGTGGGATTTGTCCACCATGTTTTGTAATATATGCTAATACAGTTGTGTTGTCGCAATGGATGGGAACTGTTTTATTCTATACTTCATCTGGAAAGCAATCTAGTGCCCTCCCAACATATTAAGTATGTTTATGTGGAGTTGTGCTTTCCAAGGGAACCACTCCCCATTCTATTTTCAAGGCGTCCATGACCAGTGTTATTGCCGGAGTTGATGGAGCAATCTATTATCTCCGTCTTATGTTGGTTAAGTCCATCCACTTGAGGGCAGTCAAGCTTTGTGGGGTCCATGATATTTCTCATGTGGCGACCCACACAACTGGAGTGTGTGTACCTGGACGAGCATACCCTTGAGAGCTG